TAGGAGCAGGAGCTAATCAATCAAGGCAAAAGCATAAGGGATCTGGTGTCGATCCAACGCCGCGCACTCGAAGGGCTTCCAATCAAACTCGTAGCCGATAAGCAACTCAGTGCTTTTATCCTTCCACGCACGTCAGCGCGCATCCAGATCCTAGAGTGGTGGGAGTTTTTGTAATTGCGAATGCGAGGTTTGGCCCTTGAAGGCGTAGTTTACGCTGAATAGCCAACCCATTTCAAATTAATTTAAGGATGGTCAGTGATACAAGAAAGAAGGAAAAACCATGAGAAACGGCCCGGAACCCGAGAAATGGGACCCCTTCCTTGCCCGTTGATTTCCGCATTGATGCGACTCTCATCGTGCCCTCTTCAACGCTAACGCTCTCTCTGCTATGTCGGTGGGCGTACCGCGCCAACTGCGCCAAGAGTGAGCCATGCTAGATCGCCGAGGTCAAATCTTTCGCTGCCAATTGCGCGTCGGTCCGCACCCTCAGGAGGTCCGCCTGTCTCCCAACTATGCAATTTTCCCCTTCTTTGACCTTCGTTCTTATCGTGGGTCCTCTTCGAATTAACAATAGGTAAGTCTTTTTTCAAACGTCAACGTCTAAGCCAACTCAGGGCTTGACTGGATCATGGACTCGTGATGGCATGCTACTTAGTAGATGCCAAAAGAATATTCAAGAGAAAAGTAAGTGAATAATGACGGAACTAGCAAAACGGTGTAAATGCTAAATTGAATTCTATATGCCTAAAAGAGGTATCTGTTGCAATAGGTACAGCAGCCAATCGTAATCCTAATTTCTGCGGACTGACGAACCTCCGAGTTTCGGAATCGCACTTTCGCTTAGAAATCATCCCTTGCAGAAATCATGTTTATTGAAGGCGGCAAAAACTTCAATAGAACGCAAACGCGCAGCGGTGTGGGGGAGGGGGGTTTACGGACTACTTGAGCTTTCTTCTATGGTCCTATCACGAATGGTGGAGAGCACAGACGATTAGAGAATGGCGCTTGGGCTCTAAATACCAACGAGGAATGTGACAGCCCCAGGACTAACAAGGGAGGTCTTTCAGGGCAAGCCACGCTTTTTCAAAACGGTTTCTTGCATATTGTAGGGACGCATGTAGGGAACACAAAACCATGTTTCATTTTCGCTGAACGGTTTTAGCAGTACCAAAAAAGAAGCATAAGGTACTGTTAATGGTTCGATCCCCGTGGCGACTAAATTTTGCATTTGGGTTGGCGCCTACGGGTTGGTGCCAAATCGCGCTAAATGTCAAAATCAGATGTCATATTCATCGTCAGGACTGAATGCAAAATTTAGTCGCCGTGGGGATCGAACCATCAAGGGTATTATTCACCACTTTTTTGATACTACTAAAACCGTTCAGCGAAAACGAAACATGGTTTTGTGGTCCATACATGCGTCCCTACAATATGCAAGAAACCGTTTCCAAAAAGCGCGGCTTGCCCTGAAAGACCTCCTTGCAAGCCTTGTAAGGGGGAGGGACTCCGAGGTGATGAGCCAACTAATGTGGCAAAAGTTTGAACGGCATGAGCCACTGATATGGCCAGAGAGGCCTCATATCGTCTGGCCTGATATCGTTGTGCCCTCGAGGCGCACGCATAATCGGTCGTCCGACAGCAACGATCGCAACTGTCTGTGCATCTAATTCGTCGATATAACGTACATGGCAAGTCCGACGATCGATACGCATTTGCGACAGTTACGATCGTTGCTGTCGTCCGACCGACTATGCATGCGCCCTCACGAACGTTCATTGAAGATAGGAGGGTAGTGTGAATTAGGGATTACGGTAGATGGGCTGTTTGTGCACTAAACACAACGGTCCTTTTTCGAAATTCAAAATCTCTTGTGCTTTTCCTCACAGATTTGATTGGATTTATAAGTTGTTACTCGCCCACAAAAAAGTGTCTCCAAGACGAGGTAGAATCAGTAGTGTTAACTTGGACTTCTGGGTGCTATCTTAGTTGGGGGGGGACCACGCGGCGGCGCGGCGCTCTGTTCGTCTGCTCCTCCAAGGCTTAGTCCCAGGGGCAGTTACTATTTCGCCATCACGTGGCAGTTTCGAAATACGCGCCATCGGAGGACTAAGCCTTGCAGGAGCAGACGAACAGAGCGCCGCGCCGCCGCGTGGCCCCCTCCAACTAAGATAGCACCCAGCCTTGTACATCGGAAGGACAATTCATGAACTTAGTTATGTGTTCCGTAACCATTAGATTTGTTGTGCTGAAAGTGCAAGTATGATTTATGTGAGATGTTTGGAGCTTAATAATATAGTGCGACTTCTTATAAATTTACATCCTTGCAGATGCTGGGTGATTGCGCACATCAGCCATCAGTGGTTGGTGAGGTGGCTACGTCGCCGTTGACTTCTTTAAGTAGGAGGTACTGCATTTATTCTTTGATTTAAACCGTACTTGAAGTTTGCTATATTGTTTCGAACCTACAATCATTTTACTGTGATCTTTTAACTGTAGATCCACTTTCGACGAGGATTCCTTTTTCTCTCCAACTAAACCAAAACCGGAACAGAGAGGAGCTGGTCCAGGTCCAAGTCCGCAGCAGATTCGGAAGTTGCCCACCGTCCACGATAAAGTTTTGGACTGGTTTCTTGGATTGGTTCGTTTCTCCACCACAGGCTTTTGCTAATTATATTAACTACATCACAACCATTCAGATCGAAAATCGTCAGTTGAGGGCGTCGGCTTGCACAAGTGTTATTTGTACATTCATTTTCTATGCGTCCCTTATTGCGCTGCAGTTCTCACTACTATCACCCTTACACTTTCTTAGTGGTATGCCAATCATTCATTGTAATCTTTATTTGGTGTTTTTTTCTTCATGTAGTTTTTAGATGCATTTTCTACCACCTTTTCTCTTTCGACGTGGTTCTCAAGCATCATCATGGGAGCACTTTCTTTTGCCACATGTTTGGTTCTGCTTCATTTTCTTGCAAAAGGTATGCTTATAAGTTTGATGCTACTTAATACTTTCGTTTGGTCACGTCTTTCACAGCTATATAACTGGATAATCAATAATTTAGCTGATCAATTGAAAAGAGTGCCTTGGACAAGCATGGATGCCTGGCTATGCTTTTTCACCGTTTTTATCTACAATGTTATCCTGTCCATTGCGATCATGAAAATGACACGGTTTCCCTCTGATGAGAAGTAAGTTCTTCAGTTCTATCATTCTTTATAGTATAAGTGGTGTAGTGGCAAGTGGCACGCTTACCACGCGAGCGGTCCGGGGATCAAATCCTGGGTCGTGAGTCGCCCGGGCCAACCAAGCCTTCCATCCCTCCGGGGTCGGTTAATTGGTACCAGACTTGTCTGGGAGGATAAAAACACTGACTTGTACATCGGCTGGCCCCCGCAAGTCATTGTACAGGGGTGGCCAAAAAAAAGAGACACTTTGCCCATGGCGCACATCATCGAACTTTTCGTCGCACAGGGTGCCGATGTTAATGAAAGTTTTACGGGAATATTCCTTAGGTGTTCCCCCGTAAGCAGAAGCAGGCCCTCCTTCACTGCCCCCACCGTCTTCAGAATATGACGTCATCTGCCGTCACCGTCGAGCTCAACGAGGCTTACCGTAATCGCTCCGGCCTGAAGCTGCTACATAATTTCTTCAATGGATTAACTGTGAATAGCTTCCCAGAGACATTAGCTGTGACTATGCAAACCGCTTTTGACCAGCGTTTCAGGACGTCGTAATCGTCTATGGTACCTCGACGACCTCGTTGAGCTCGTACCGTGAACATGTTTCCGTGGGAAAATCTTCTGATGTCGTCGGTGTAGAAGGCTGTTGTGTAGCTTGTTGATAGATTATAACGTGCTCTTTAATATTCAGTTGGGGTCATTTGGTTTGGTTTCGCAACGCGTAAATAATTCCGTTTTGAATGTGGAGTGAAGTGTCTCTTTTTTTGGCCACCCCTGTATAGGCCACATCGCATTCAAACGCCACTACGAATGTACAAATGGAAGTAGAATGCGTGCCGCATCCCAAAAAGGGATTGATCAACGGCAAATGCTTTAGGCTGGTGTCAGAGTCCGCGATCCGTCGCAGGTTTCGCTGATTTTCGCGATTTGCGCGATTTGCGCGATTCACGCGACGGGTCACGGAAATCACAAGTGCCCGATCAATACTGCAAGGTGTTCTCCAATCCTGCCGCCACTTCTGCTTGATAGTGATGGCTGAATGACGACTGCTCATGATTCCACTTGTTTCATATTCAGTGTTTCAAATGTTCACACACTTGCAATTTTTGCGATCCGTCGCGTGAATCGCGCAAATCGCGCAAATCGCGCAAATCGCGTGAATCGCGCAAATCGCGAAAATCAGCGAAACCTGCGACGGATCGCAGACTCTGACACCAGCCTAAAAGATATCCAAAAAAGAATAGTGCTAGTGTGCGTTTCAGGTTTCTTGTTGGCTTGGTTATTCTGTCAACTACAGTTTCTGCGTTTTCTTCTATATTTCGTAATGATTTTCAGCTTAATTTCTCTGGTGCTGTGACACAGGTAAATCAATTTTACTAAGCCTAATATGTAGTTCAAGAGATCATTAGAACTTTCCAGCTAGGGCTTATGCACACCATTGTTGGCATGTTCGCGGTCGGATACGAGTCTGTGCTGGTGTCAGCATTCCGTGAAGCAGTTCGCATTGCATCTGTCGTGATGGTCGCTGGCTGTTTTGCTGGTAAATGAGCTCATTAGCTGTCACATCATCTCCGAGGCTAACAGTTACTGAAGTAATTAAACTTCTCGCAATATGTGTCGTTTTTCAGGCCTGTTCTCTCATGGCCTATCATCTCTACTATTGCTCTTCAATGTATCTTTCCACATATACAACATAACTATAATTTTCGGACAGCAGTTCGCTACAAAAGCCTTGTTGAAGCTGGTTCGGTATATTGTGATGAAGGTAAGATGACTTGTTGTCTTGGCTTTCAAAGATTGGATGTATCTGAACGTCCTTGTTCGTTCCTATTTCATGCTGGTTATTTTACAACGTTGGACCAATTGTACACAGCCGTCTCGCATGGGATTGAGCAGTCGTTTTTGCAACGCGACATAACGCTTGTTGAAAGATGCTCTTCTACGGCATTTTATGGCCTGAGGAAAGAGTATGGTATTGGAGAAATTTAAGGTTAAGTGATAAAGGAGCTCATAAGTCTCACAATGAGGTCATTCACGAAATGGACCTGGTTGGGGTTCATTCATATAATGAATGGCAAAAGATTTAAAAGCAGAAGCTGTCAGCTGCGACAGTGCAATCTAAGTATCCCTCTGAATGTTAGACCCATGATCTGCCTGTGATCAAAGCTGAAAACGTGATTTTCTTCTAAATTCTTATCATTGATTTAGAAATCGCTCCTTTGTGTGGCTTTGCGTACGGTTTTCTCGATGTTTTTCAGAGACGAATATATGTTCTTTTTTCAGCCAATCTCTTTCCCATTACCTCCATCGTATGCTGTGCACACGCCTACTCCAGAGCAAACTCGAACCCTCACTATTGTTCTCGACAGCCAACATCCTCTACTGAAGGTATGCTCCGACAAAGTCATTCAAGCTCATTTAGTGACGCTTGTCAGTGCTTCCCTTTGAATGCGTCTTCAATTATTCAATTTCTTGGAGTGATTTCACATTTGTTTAGCTGCGATGCTCTGGCTATCACGAGCTAATAAATAATATATAAAAGAACAGAATAGTTCTCTAGCTTTCCGTGCCTTCTTGTAGACTAAGCTATCCATTCTGAGTTCCTCTATTTCTACTCATACTCGCTCCAGCTCCACCTGAAGGGCGGAACGTATCACGGTCCATTATTTCGAGTGAATTGAAACATGTTCTGTGTCGTAATTATTTGAGTTCTTTCCTCTTATCGCATATCACATACTTTATGCAAAATATCACGAACTCTTCTGCATAATTTCCTTTCCAGTTGTTCGCTTTCAATGATCTCAGACGTGTAGCGTGGACAGATCGCAACCGTCGCATGGAAGTATTCTCTCTGAGCCAACCTGGTATGTTTACTAGATAGGTATCTACAGAGTTTCTCAATGACTTCTTTTTTTCAAAATGTTAATGTTCTTGTTCCCGCGCACCTTACCTCCTTCTATGTAGCACTTTTTCAATGAACGCCTCAACCCATAGTATGTCGACATTCCCTGCTCGTATTTTGCTGCCCTCTATCTCCATTTTTGAGAAGATAGCATAATCTGTTCTACTACTTTGCCCCTGTTGCCTCATCAAGCCATGACATTATTTTATTTTCATTATTTGTCGCAGAAATTGCGCGCTAGTTATCGTCCTTGCTGCATAGTTTGACTTTTCAATCTGTAATCGCCTCTACGTGCCTTTGAGGGAAGGCATGTGCAAAAAGCAATCTGTCCAAAACATGAAAGGTGCGCAAACAAATGATGATTCTACTTTTGATACTGTGATCAAATTGTGTACCTGTAGTGTGGTCTGTAGAATTATGGGACAGTGCATTGCAATTGACAGAGAACATAGTAACATCGGCGAACACCGCAACACGGCTAGTCTCATGTTTTCTTTTGTTTAAACTTCCACACGTTGTTTAGTGAATTCTTTAGCGAATTTCTATCACAATCATGAATATCGGTGCTACTGAACAGCTCACTTTGTAGGAGGACATCCGCGAAATTGGACGAATGTTTCTACAGCCTGTATCAACATCTTGGAGAGAGTTCAAAGTGAACTGCAGGTTTGTTTCAAGCTCGTATTGAAGTAGACTAGATGTTGTATTGTGAATTGCTTTCAAAAGTTACAAGTTTTTTGGAGTTTCTTTTTTTTGACTTTGGCAACGATCAAAAGATTTCATTGGCTAAAGTTCCTCCTCCTGGATGCTGCCTGTTTTTTTGCAAATTCGGATTCTGCGATGAAGGAGTTTTTTCATAACTGAATATTTTCACCAACTCAAGATTTGGCGTCTCCGGTCATGATAGAGAACGCATCTTCTCAATCGCATTACTTTGAGTATACATGTAACATTTCTTTGGACGAGGTCCGTGAAATACGGTGGGTGCAGTACCCCATCTGTTCCACTTTTGTCATTGTTTTTACCACCAGATGAACTGGAGAATGTGGGGGAGCTCAGTTTGAAGTTATTTCTTAGACTGATGTCAGACTTTGCCAACCGAGTGATTTGCTAGCGTCCGTGGTCGCTTCGCGAACAGCGAACGAGCCATTAACTGTGCGACGCGACCGCGGCCGCTAGAATCGCAAGTAACAAATCAATCGATTCGTAAAGTCTCACATCGGTCTTAGAATGGTGTGGACTTGCATTTTGCCGTATTGATCTGTATTTTGGGTCGGACTGAGAATGGCTATAGTAGCGATATGAGAGTTTGAGAAAAGTAGAGACTCAGCGCGGAAGGAGAGAGAACATTCATGAGCATGGGAATGCGGCGAAATAATGTGGATTAGCGAGGTAAAGTGCAACCGATCGTGCTGTCGCCGTTGCACTTTTCCATTGCAAAGAACGCGAAGTCTGGCAGGTGTCTCATTGTCAGCCAATTTTGGGCGGTTGGGAACTCCCTTCACATAAAAACCATCGCTCGTTCACTTCCATTGTCAACATTAGTAACCAAGAGTTCTTCCATTAGGTTCCCAATGTTCATAATATATTATTCCTTTTGTTTGATTTCTGACCATGAGTCCTCAGCGTAAGCCGTCTTGGAATTGTTAAAACCTAATTCTACACACACTTTCTGTTGAACTACGTTACGTTATGATTGCAGAAATACTTCATTGCTTCAGCTTGTCTCCTTCCAAACTTAACGAAGCAGTTCCCGTTGATTTAGACCTTGCCTCGATTTAGACCTTACCAAGTTCCATCTTGATTCACCCCCTATAATGCTGCAAAAGAATAAGTTTACTTGCTTAATGCTTATATGCTTGTCGAAATTCTCAGCCCATTGCCATCCGGCGTACTTCAAGAATCCTCTCCAATCGTCTTTTGGTATTTTTTCTCATCAGTGACTGATATCCTGCCAACATTTAAATAGTAGTTGTGAGCATATTGTTCTCCTCATCCGAGTGGCAAAATACATCTTGGTTAGTAACGATATAACTGTTGGGTCAATTAAGCAGAAAAATAGTTTTTCATTCATTTCGTGTGGGATGTCATGCTCTTGAGCATCACGCGGTTCGCATAAGGTTAATGCTACCCCTAACAGATTGAAGTCGAAGACAGTGTTCTCCTCATAGTTGGCAAGGATAGATACTTGTTTAAGGTAGCGTCTTCTCGTCTTGAAACTTGCGGTTTTGATATGGATCGCGGTGATATGGCAGAAGATGATTTTGCTGAAGTGGACAGGGAAATGCTGATGATGCCTCAGAAATCGAGAAAGCAAAGTGAGAACATGTTTATTTCTTTATAAGTTTCTTCTATTCTCGTACTGCTCGATGTCATTGCTCTTTCCATCTTTACGAATGGGGAACTTTCCAGTTTATTCCTCGGCTGTTCGTCAACGCCATCGTGTAGCCATCAGACCAATTCCTCGTCAGCCTAGTTCATTTATTCAACAACAACCAAGCTGGTATTACGTTACTAGTATTTCTTCTCTTGATGGTGACTTACTCGTCTATTTTAATTTAGGTGGAAGAGGCTTGTTTTGTTTTCATCCGAGCAAGAGGTAGTTTCTCGATACGACGCCAATATTGTTATTTTGGCTGTTGAAAGTGAGTACTCCGTGATATCTGATTTTACAACACTGATAGTACATTTTACGATTCCATTTCAAGGTCTATATATGTTTGTGGTTGAATCCTATCATGAGGACCGGTACGGCGTTGTACTGAAAGATCTGCATGCGATAATTGGAGTCTTGGTGCAGCTCATTCAAACAATTGACAAATATTTCCGACTGAGAGCGGTATGTACGATGTGTAGTGTTTTGCACTTTTTGCAGCCACTAACCATAAGATTACTCTTGTTGGTAACTTTCTATCTATCAGTTCTACTCCATTGTAAAACTACGAAAAATTAAGAAAAATAATAATATCAGTCGACATTTCTTCATAATTTCCAGAACCAAACCGTACCGAACGGCTGTGATTTGACTGTGAAACAAGTCGACGCAGCACTGCAGACTGCTTTGATCCGTATAAGTGGGAAGTTCGGTGCTCATCTGAAGTATGGTTTCTCTTATCATTAGCTTATCCTCTATTCTTTTCTTCAGCTTATCCTCGGTTCCTGTACGTTTCTTTTATACAAATGGAACTGAACGACTTAATCTCAACTACATCTTCCAGGGCTTTGAACCTTTCGAATGAACAGCTTCAAACAATGAGGATGGTCTGTCAGTCGGATATCTGATACTTTCTGTCGACCCAATCGTGTTCTTGTTTTCTCATTTCTTTGAATTGTTATGGTTGTAATTTTGTCAGCTTGGGTATTTTTGTCTACGGATGTTTCCTTATTTGTTGTAAAATATCATTTTTTCACTAACTAGCACTGGTCATGATCGATTTTACAGAATCCCAGCTTAATTTTATTTTTTCCTGTCATATTTTGCGTCCTGTGAAAATGGTCTCATAAATGTTGTCTTCTCTTTATGTACACTAGCACTATTGTATGTGGACAAATTTCTACTCTCCTGTCTTTTTTACGTTTATTTTGCGCTGCTTAATAATAGGAAGACCCATTTTGGCATTTTCTGGTGATTTCCATAAAGTTTACAAGGAAAATACCAACATAAGAATGTGGCACTATTCCACTATTACTGCCCCAAAATCTCAAAATTTTATTTTTCGTCGAAACTTGCCTATAGGGTAATTCGATGCCCTGATTACGAAATGACATTCATTTTTGATGCTGGCGCCATTTGGCGCCAACGGCTGTTTTCACCAAATTCGCTGTAAACTTGCACATAGGGGTTATTTGGTGTCCTGATTACGAATATGACATTCGTTTTTGGAATTGGCGCTGTCTAACGCATATTTTCTGCTCTCCTGGGCTCTCTCACTTACACATTGTGCTTAAGACTAAGCTTATTGGAGAAGGAGGACTCCGAGGTGGGTAAACCACGCAGCATGTGACAAAAGTTGAAGTGTGTGATATCAGGGTGAGTGGCTCACTCACCTCTGAGCCCTCCTTTCCCCAAGGGCTTAGTCCTGATAGTGATCAACCCAGTGCGAGGGCGCAGACGAGCAGAAAATGGGCGCCAAATGGCGCAAGCGTCAAAAATAAATGTCATATTCGTAATCAGGACACCAAATAACCCCTATGTACAAGTTTACACGAATTTCGTGAAAACAGCCGTGTGACAAGGTGGCGCCAAATTGCGCCAGCATCAAAAATGAATGCCATATTCGTAATCAGGGCATCGAATTAGCAAAGTTTCGACGAGAAATAAAACTTTGGGATTTTGGAGCAGTAATAGTGGGAATAGTGCCAAGAATGCTTCTCATGAAATTCTGTGTCGGAAGTCTATCCCGTACTGACAAGCTTCAAGGCCAAGTGTTTATAGGTCACAAAGGTCTCAGGAATTTGCTAGTTTAGACATTTTATCACAAATACCTGAAGAGCAAGTCTGTTCTAGTACGCGATTTCAAAACATTAATCCATTGCGCGACAAAAGATCGTTACTTTTGCTTATTTTCAACCATTTTAACAACCACTTTATCAGTGAACTTTCCCGGGCATAAAATTTATTGTGTTTGGATCTTTACTACACTGCGTTTCATAATTATAGGTCCACCCTAAATTTTTGCTACCCCAAAGTTGCTGTGCATTTTTTGGAAATGCTGCTATCACCGTTAGATTCCTCATCACGGAAAACCTTCATAGTGTTTTTCTGACAAATTCCCCCCTCAAGTAACCCAATTAACTTTTTTAGAACGAATTTTCACCGTTTCATGAATATCGGGCCACTCATAAAAAGTTTCCATTTCTCACGATCCGTGAAGGGAATCAGGGAAGCGGGGAAATATGTGGGCTCAGTCGACATCGAGTTTACCATACCTCGTGTTATTCGCCTCTCTTCCCAGTAACAAGCTCAAGCTAGAGCACTTACTGAAGTGGGATAGCTGAGGAGCAGAATTTCCTCCCATGTCGGCCCGGCTCATACTACATAAGCGACTATGTTGCAAAATCCTGGTCAAACAGCAGTGCGGACACGAATCAGGCATCGCTTAGCTCAAAATAACAGACTGCGCGTTCCTTCAAAAATTTTAGGAAACTTGCGTCGTCTCTCTTCTCGATTATACAAAAAAGTCGATAAAATCCGCGACTGAAATGCGCGCCTTTCCGCTGAGCAACCACGGCTGATGCGCTTGCAGCTAAGACAGCCAGAACAATAACAAACTTATACGAAGTTAGCGAAACATCCATCAGACGGTTGATGAAGAGCGTTCCAAGATTATTTGAGCGCTACAAGATCGCAAGTCTCCATTTCTCCGTGGAAAAGGGCTCAACTTAATGAGCGATGGTGTGGCTGTTAAGACCCTTCGCGATCTTGGACTCTACCTCCTTGTTTCGTTCTACAGGTGGTCTGAGATCGACGTGGAAAAGTTTATTCTAGGTGGATATGGCAGAAAAAGAGGGTACAGGATGATCGCGTGAAAATCGCAGATGGTTTCAATGTAACGTAATTTCGGCGGTGAATCCCTTATGGTTTGAGGCACCTTTGAACGACTGAGTAGCTAGAGCTCGCTTTTGTTTCCGTTCACAAAGATTCCACAGGGTATCGTGAAGTTCTTTCGAAGCGAGTCTTACCATTTTTTCAACAAGGATCCCCTCTATCCTTGATTTTCACACACGATAACGCGGCTGTCCATGCCGGTCCCTCCGCGCCAGATGGAATTGCAGGAAAAAATGTGGCAGTTATCTGGTGGCCACCATGTTATCTGAATTAGATTCCAATAGAGAATCATTGGGCCTTAATTGTTATAAAGTTCCACAGCAAAGTAAAGCAAAATGGAACAGCCGAAAAGCTGAAAAGGTCGATCATCGGCGCCCAGACGAATTTCGATCCTACTGTAATAGCTAATTTGGCTACCAGCATTTCAAAACGTATTATTGTGTTCCTTATGATTATTGGGGGGTCATCCCATTATTGAAAATTCGTGACGTTTTTTCGTTATAGTAAAATCTCTCGACAAGTGATGTGTAGTCATATTTGCGAAACGGTGAAAATACGTTCTAAGGAAGATATTTTAATAATTCTGAATCGAGATTTCTCCAGAAATCAAGTATCAAGGTTTTTCGTTATGGGGAAACTATTGGTAATAGCGGCATTTTCCAAAAATGCACAGCAACTTTGGAATAGCAAAAAATTAGGGTGGACCTATATTTATGAAACGCAGTGTATTACTGATCAAATGCGTTAACTTATTGGTTACGAATGGCAAAACCTAACCGTAGGCAGGGACGCAGTGAGTTAAGCCTCTAGTGATCTACAGGTCATTATGAAGATTGTTGAAAAGAAAAAGCAGATCGGATAAAACTACCCAAATAACGTGGACGAATTACGAATTCTAGGGAGTGTGGTGACTCGTCCACCACGCCGCCGTAACGCAGTACTGCGATTTGTTACAAAGATGTAATCAGCAAGATTTATTACCAAATTTAGTCTAAGCGTATCGCCAAATGTTGCAAACAAAGTGCACTCATTTCTGTGGGGACTGGACTTTTTTATTCGTTCGGGTGGATGGACAGGAAAAGTGGTCATTCTAGTTGAGAAGCCTTCTAACTAAATGGAGCTTTTCCCATGTAAGAATACATCTCAAAGTTTCGGTTGTTGACAAACTTTCTTTCTAAGATGAAAGAAGAGCTTACAAAACCATGTGAAGGGGTAAGGCGACCACGACTTGATGCCGCGATGGAGCGACGCGAATGTTTGGACGAGTTCCACTGACGTCCGATCTGTTTCTGGGATACGGTGGTTGTTTGTTTTGGGTTGCACCCAATTCTTCAGAGGGAGTTTATTCTTGTACCATTAATTCGTTTCCTCCTTCACGTATTCTTTTTCTATGGTTTCTTATTTGACTTGGTTTCATACTTCATTCATTCAATCGTAGCTTTTGGCAATCGTGTTCAAAGCTAATTTTGGTGTAAAATTTTTGACGTTGTAGCTATGGTCGCTTGGAGAGCTGCTGGAATTAACTATGTGCGCTTCTCCCAGATTGCAGCGGAAGTCACCAGGAAAGTGCACCAAACGCGCACCTAAAGCGGCTGAAGTGAAAACGTCGCCAGCTACATTGAAAGTAAGCCTTGTTTCGCTATTTTCAAAGGACTGATGAGCTGGGGGAATTGTCAATTGAATTTATGGCACGAAGGCTACAGGTATGACGCTGTGAGAAGCAGTGAATTTTCAGATATGATCCTTCCAAAGAAATGCTTGTTGTTGTTATCTAGCTTCTGCCAAAGTTTAAGTAGATAGTATATTTTGTTGCGGTATTGAAACATTTTGCAGTAGTCTGAGAAGGGGTACGTCTAGAGTTGTCAGGTTGTCGAATATGAGGATATGTGGACATGGCTCACTAGGCAAGGATACTCGGTTTATACACTGCGTTGCAAAAATATAAATCCACCTGGAAAGTTCTTGAAAATTCGCATGATAGGGTGTTTCTGAAAAAGCCTTGAAAGAAAAATGTGCTCAATATAAATATAATTTCGAGTGTAAACACCAACTTCCATTTCGAAAACACGAAAATTTTTTATTTTCATTTTTCAGAAAAGGGCCACTTTGCCGATTGTGCAAAAATATAAATCCACCCCATGTTTCTCGGTTGAACTTCATTGTTATTTGGCGTAACTGTCAGGTTGTTTCCACTTCCTCTTTCTTAGGTGATGACGGAAGTAACACCGCTGTCGGGCTCAGAAAAAGGCGAAATCTACAAATAGTGGGGAGATTTGCCGTGCAGTCAAATCGCGCGTGATTTGAGCCCCCCTTATGTGGTTGTTGAGCATTTCGTCAAGAATCCTGCAGCATGTGGAATCCAGAAGAGCACTGAACCCTTTTCTTCGCGTTTCGGTTGCGATGACCGTAGTGTTATGGGAAAAGCAGCCGATTCTCCCAAGGGGTGCTCAGGAACTCAACCTTCAAAAAAACCTAATTTCTTGAAAGACACCGTTGGCGTGTGTTAGAGGAACTCTGAGACCACTGTTCGACGGAAAATGAGTAGGACACATTTGAAAAGAATCATCCCAAAAATCAAGCCAACTCTTCCATAATGTGTGCATGCTGCGCCAGCTGCATTAAGTTCGGCTTTCTACACGCTACTTTTTACTGTCTGTCTGAATTTCTCTGTTTTTTTTTCTGCAGTGTGTTTGGCAGAGACAGGAACTCATATTGAAAAAGGAAACCAGTAAGA